GGTTCAGAGCGACAAAACGGCCCTCCCGGCGCGGGAAGGGCCCTGCGACGCCGAGGTCGAGCCAGCGCGGGGGCAGCGCGCAGATGGACCACCGCGGTCCGGCTGGGCCCTCCGAAATAGCGCCCGAAGCGCGCTGTGGATGCAAAGGCTACGCGCTCCTACGCTGCGCTTACACGCTTAACGCTGCAAAATGGGAACGGCGTACGATGCAATTCCGGTTTCCACTCAGGGCCCCTAACATGGCTGCCCGCTTCTTCCTGTCCCGTCTCCGTCGCGGCCCCCCACTTCCGCTCTGCACTACCCTCCCAGCATGGCCGATCCCCGCATCCTGTCCGTCTCCTTAAAGTGTCCCATTTCTGCTGCTCACTGAAGCGCTGCTGCTTCTGACGTGCCCCTTTGCGGTGGACCCTCGTGTCGGCGGGGGCGGGGGGGGGCAATCACGAAAGGAAGAAGGCCGAGAGTCGGGAGGCCCTTCGGTTCGCCTGTTTCCACTCAGAGCCCCTAACGTGGCCGCCGGCTTCTTCCTGTCCTGTCTCCGTTGCAGTCCTCCACTTCCGCTTTCGAGTACCTTCCCAGCCTGGACGGCCCTGGCGCTCTGTCCAGTTTTTTTTGGAGCGTCCCGTTTCTGCTGCTCGCTGAAGCGCTGCTGCTTCTAGTGCGCCCGATCACACCGGACCCTCGTGGCGGCGGCTCCCGCGGGCCACGCAACAATAGCCTAATGGAAAGCTTCAAAAGCAGCACTGGAATTGTGTGCAGCGCACAACGTTGTTACTGCTCCACGCTACGTGCGAGATCAGCGCCTTTCCCCTTGCCCACCGGTGCCACTCATTCGTTCACAGCCCCTAACATGGCTGCCCGCTTTTTCCTGTCATCTCGGCAGAGCTGCTTTGCAGCCTGTTGTCGCGAGCGGCTGAGAGCCGGTAGTGGCGGCGGCAGCACATGGCGTCGTGAGGCTGAGTCTCTTTGGGCCCCTCCCATTCCTGTTCCGGAACGCTGGACGTCAAAGCGACAGCATAGAGTTAGAGTTGTTTGCTTTGTAACCATGTAATTTCGGGTTGCTTTGGGAGAGTTAGAGGCCGCCCCCATACAGTCCTGAAAAAAACATTCCACTAGTTTAGAACCCCTTCATGGATCACTGCCTTGTCGTGGCGAAGGGGCTTGCGTAACTCAGTGAAG